TGTGTGTGTGTGTGTGTGTGTGTGTGTGTGTGTGTGTGTGTGTGTGTATATACATACATACATACACACACACAGAGAGAGAGAGATACAGTGGGTTCCACAGTTCTAAGGTCACACTGAAACCCTGAAAATGGAATTTAAAAATGACATATAACAGTATTCTAGGATGCCCAGAACTCCCTTATCAAAGTCATATTTGTTTGAAAACATAATGTTTGACCTGGCTATTTTAACCCTGTTTTTTTAAATTACATATTAATGAAATAAAACAATAATTAAATACTTTAAAATAGATAAATACACACACACACACACACACACACAGGAGGTGCACCTGAGATATCTGAGCCATCTGAAAGTCAAATGTAAGTCTGTAAGAATATGTATGTTATGCAGTTATGCAAGTACCAGTGTAAAGCTCTTAGGTGAGGCGGCCCATCTTTTCACTGTAGTAAGTGGCCACTCTTGAATCACATCTTTGGTTTTCTCATCCACTCTCATCACTGATTCTTTGGTTATACCCAGCAGCCTAGGGACCAGCTTATTTTTACTTTTCATTTTTTCCTGAGAAACAAAATCAAACACAGAAATAAAGAAAAAAGAAAAAAAAAAGTGAGATTAATTCACTATGCTCAGAACAATAAAAATGGTCCACCAAAATATATAATAACACATATACATCCACAATAAAATTCTTCCTGCACCAAGCTTATCATCCTTCTTCTGTTTCCACACTTTTTCTCTCTGAGATGCCAGCAGATAGATAAGCTGAGCTCTGCTGTCCTGTCTTGAGTTTTGAGTTGTACAGTCAATCATTGCCAAACCTTTTTCACTTTAGCTTTTTGCACAAATGTATTTACCATTAATTCACAGATAAAAACAACAACCTGGAAACAGTTTGAGTTCATGAATACAGAGAATAATTATATTGGCCGTACGTGATAAATAAAAGCCAGAACAAAACGAAAATCAGTACCTTATGATCTTTATTTTAGGCACAAGCACATCTGCTCCACCTTAACTTTATAACTCAAGCAGAGCTGAACTGTAATCAGTCCATGAGTCATGCAGACCACCACCGGCCAGGAACAGGAGAGGGGGGTTGCACTGAAGCCATGGGATAATTCTAGAGGTGGAATTCCTCTTGAATGATGAAAGCTCTCATGAGAACATTGATTGGCAACATGTAGGCCGAAGAATATTTCTGGACTTGGGTACAAAAGTGACTCAGGACTGCTAATCTCAAAAACACCTTTACAATAAGTGATCTGATTCGGAAATATGATGTGAAGGTAAACCCATAAAAAACAGGGTGCGTCCATATGGGTATCCCTAGACAAGAAATTTGATTGGCCATCCCAAGTGCCACTTAAAGGTGTCATATGATGCGATTTAAATTTTTCCTTTCTCTTAGGAGTGTTACAAGCTCTTGGTGCATAAAGAAGATCTGTAAAGTTGCAAAGACTAAAGTCTCAAATCCAAAGAGATATTCTTTATAAAAGTTAAGAGTCAACCACGCCTACCTAAAACGGCTCGTTTAAACACGCCCCCATATGTCTACGTCAGGATGTGGGAAGATTTGCATAACACCGCCCAAATGTTCACGCAAAGAAAGAAGGCGTAACTTTGATTCTCGCTTTAGTATTGTTGTTGCCGTGTGTTTCGTTGTGAAAGTGAAACTACTTTGCTTGGTCTTCCAAAAGAGGACAATATCTGCTTCGTCAAGCCTAGAGCTGATCCGTGCTGGTTGCTGAGGAAATACATCAACTTTGCGCTGTGGATCGCCGGATCGGCTTTCACCGTGGACGAAGCGGAGTCCAGCCTGTCACATGTGGTTGCCGCAAGCAACTTCCTCTTTTGGAAGGACACGACTAGAAATCAGTGGTTAAGTTGTATTTACAACACTGTTCCAGAACACTTCAACCCAAATATTCAAATGTGTGCTGCGCATTTGATGGAGGACTGTTTCCTGATCCAGACTACAATGCCGGCTGTTCTGACTCACAGTCTGTAAGTACGTTTTCATTTAAAGGATTTGCCACTGAGGATTCAAACGTAAGTTTGCCGGGACACAGCATCACAGTATATGTTAGGGGCGTAACATTTCCGTCACACGCTTGAGGTATTCGGCCAATCACAACGCATAGCTGGCCAATCAGAGCACACCTCGCTTTGTAAAAATTGACGCGTTTCAGAAAGGCGGGGCATAGAGGAGAAACAATAATGTACAGTATGTGGAAAATAATGTGGTTTTTAACCTTAACCCGCATAAACACATTTTATTACACCAAATACACAAAATAATGTTCTTTTTAGTAACATCATATGACCCCTTTAATATTCTAATCAACTCAGGGGTAGGATCTTTAATACTTTTCTTGCAGAGAGAATCAAAGCAGAAAACAGTGTCAATTTTTGGTTATACCTAAAGGCCAAAACCAAACCAAACCAAACCGAAAAACAAAAACACACAAAAGTGAAGTGAATAAACTGCACTGACATGTAACAATTTTTATAATTAATTTTTTTTAATTATTATTTACCCTAGTCTAAAAAGTCAGGAAACTCCACTGTAACAAACATAGCTTATACAGGTATATCCAAGTACAGCACACAAACACACATACACTTTACCTTCACCAAGAAGAAAGACACTCCATATGTTCTGAGGGATCTCGCAAGCTTCACATACTTCAGGTAGTGTATATGGAGAAAAATGTATTTGTCTCAAAAGCAATGGCAGAAACCATGGGTGTGTTGCATAAACTGCTTAGACTAGTCTTAAAAATGTAGTCATCCAATTTCTTTTCTTCAAGACTGGTCATAACTTTTTAAAGTCAGTTACAAAAAGCTAGATTGGTCTAATGTGAATCCAAAAAGTAAGACTGATTACCCCTTGGCTAACTGCTAGCTGGTCAAACTAGTTTGTAAGACACAGTCTTAACATAGTGTCTATGTTTATGCAACTGTCCCCATGTCTATATTTGGTCAGTCCAATGGAAATGCACCTACAGGTATGCGCAAACCATTGGGATTTGAATCCAGGTCACCTTGCACTTCAAATAAAAACTATACCACTAGACTAACAGTTTACAGTTTTTTTTTTCTTTTCTTTTTTAAACGTGTCAATGGCAACCAAGTGAGTCAGGACTGCCACGGATGCCCCCTCAAAAGAACCTGAGAAAGTAACTGCATATGACAAACTAAAAGAGCATCACTGACCTATTCTACTGCAGATGGTGACAAGCAGCTCTCCCACAGTTTTGGAATCATCCACCATGATGGTCTTCACTGCTCCATCCAGCATTTTTATCTTCTGAGGTCTCTGTTTTTTCTTATACTCCAGAATGTCCTGAGAGAGAGAGACAGAGGGACTTGACCAGCATTTCCTGACTGCACCAAATTAATATGAATATGGATATTTTTCTTACAAAAACGCATCGATTCGCTACAGAAGGCCTTGTTCACCCCCCGGAGCCGTGTGAGAGACTTTTTTTTATGGATGGGTGCTTTTTATTCAACTTGTTTTGGACTGAAGCATGCAACACCCGCTGAGTGCCATGAAACAGATTGAAATATCAAAGACAATTTTTAATATAACTCCGACTGGATTCGTCTGAAAGAAGAAAGTCAAATACACCTAGGATGACTTCATGGTAAGTAATTTATGGGCAAATTTTCATTTTTGGGTGAACTAACCCTTTAAGTTTAAGGAAAGCTTAGGTTTTAGGCTTTGGTTCTGAATGAAATTCTGGACCATAGCTATTTTGACATCGTCTTGGATTTTAACATGTCTTCTTTTCAGCCAGCTGCAGAAATAAAATCTAATCTGTGCAGTACAAAGGCAAAAAATGACTATAAATGGTTGAGTATGCACGGAAGACGTAGTTTTTAAAGTAAAAAGCTTATAAAAATAAATATAGACCACACACCTAAGGCTGAAATTACCTACAAAACAAAGATTAAATGGAATCCGTATGTGAAGCAGTTTGTGCAGTTTTTTATGCAAAATAAGACAGAGATGAACATCTGTGTACGTGTATGAGGGTGAAGAATAGGTCTTTTGATCAACAAAAGATGAAACAGTACTGATGAAATCTTCATTTAACACATCTCAATTTACCCTGCACACACAAATCTGTATTTCTTCCTGGGAACAAGCATTCGGCTTTGTCTTTATATACAACACTCCTCTGCACAAGCACAGAGACTCACAAGTGTAAACAAATATAAACAAAAACCACATGCTGCAGTGACAAATGTCTTTAATCACAGCACTGTTGCTTGTCTCAGTAAGTGTAGACACTAAGGGGAGCCTTTCCTCTCTCTCTCTCACATACTCAGACTATAAAAATAACCAAGAGCAGAGTTAAGACCTCTTCTCATCTTTCAGCATAAAAAACATGGGCAAAGACACATCACAAAACAAGACAAGAGTGCAAAGACATGTCACAGAACATTTGACAGGAGCTTGTAAAATAGAGAGAGACCGAAGATCAAAGGCTTTACCCCATTTCTCAGCATGTAATAGTCCAGCGTCCGGCCTCCTTCCAGCCAGATGCCTTTCCTGGGGTCTTCATCTGATAGAAACAGCCCATATTCTGAAGCTGAGAAACAACAGACACTGTATTAGAACTTGAATTTGGCAAAATGATACAGCTTTAGCAACCAGATTTGCAATCACTGTAAACATTACTATACTACAAAGAACACAGAAAGTAAGGTGTCCCACCTTGTCCTGTCTGGGCTTCTGGAACCCTCTCTCTGATGACCCGGCATGCATCGTACACAGCCGTTGATGGCTCAAACTGCATCGTCTTCACCACATTACACTGTCTCACACAGATCTTCAGTGACAGCGCCACCATCCTGCCAGCTTATTTATTACAGACTCTGCACCTGTGGAGAGAACGAGGGGAAATGACAATGAGAGAGATGGAGAACTGAAGACAGCAAGCGGGAGAATGTGTGCGCGTTTGAACGATACTGATTTTAGGATTAATCAACACTCTCATAAAATATGTAAATGAAAATATTGTTAACCATTTTCAGTGTTAATTAATGCAGATTCATTAAGATACTGCAGATACTGATTGTCAGCAAAGTGTTCCTTTACTAAATAATAAAAAAAATTATAAATAGACATTACCGTTCAAAAGTTTGGCGTCAGTAAGATTTGAATGACACAGACACAAAGTCTTTACTGTTAACACCTGAACTCCCAGTCAGCTGCCTTTACTCTTTCAGCACCATCCAAACAGCACATTAATGAAACACTGACTAGTTTAAACACACACTGAAGGAAAAAGACACAACATAATACTAGCCAGAGGATACAGTTTCACTTCATGGTTCAAACAGGCCTTGCTGGAACAGAAAGATACTTATAACACCGTTTAACCCCACTTCAAAATCAGCATGACATCCATAAACAATAAAGAACCAGAATTATTACCTTAAAGTCAGAGTTTCTCTCAGCATCTAGCTAATCTTTAGTCTGTATGTGTGTCTGTGGGGATTGAGGATGTTCTTGTGCACAGTTGGCACAATAAACACGGGCATGAGTTTGGCAGTGTGATCTGACACAGTATGTCAGGGACAAGCTGTAGAGCTCTGAGCCATCAAAGACAGACATATATAGATCAGGAAGACCATTGTTGGAGATGCAATAGTCGTGACAAAATGTCTGATATGCATATATTAAGTATAGAAAGACTTGCTTTGTTTCAAGACATCACTGAAGTAATAACTTGGAATTCACTGAATCAAATGATTCGGTTCACTAAGTGAAGGATTCATCAGACTGCTTCAAACTCACAAATGCTAAAGTCTGTGACTATTTTAGAAAGATTCATTAAAACAAAAGGTTCACTAGAATAATTTTCTTATGAATCAAGACTTTACTTTGGTCACACTGTTTGTGTGCAGCCCTAGGAGACAATTAAATAGAAAGATGTGTGTTGCCATTATTTTTCAGTAAACAACCTTTTTATCGAACCACATTAAATTCAGACTGCTACCTCATATTCAAAAAACACGTAAAATATGATTTTTTTTCACTATGCAGAAAAGCATTAAAGAAAAACATATGCATAACAGAAATTATTCTTAAAACTTTATACCAAAACATAATTTTTATTGCTGTTACCCACCAGTTTGGGGCAGACTATTCGTATGTGCAAAATATGGAAGATGTGGTGGTGAGGTGGAGGAGCAGTTTTCAGAAAAGCAGTCTGGAAACAAATTTCATTAATGCAATTCCATCTGGTGTTGCAGAAATTACACACTTTACCTTTAAATACAACACCTCAATTCGATAACACCCAATATATACCAGCCCTTGCTGCTGAGTGCCACTGGAACAACACAAAGCTCTTAAAGTTCCTGTCTGATCAGCCACAACTTGTCCAGTAAATTATCACAAACAATTTATTTGCTTTTGCACAGCACAGATTTCTACATTCAATGTTTCCAGCGTATAGATCCACACACGCTATCTCAACCAGCCCACTGGTGACTCAAGAGAGCCTGAAAATCATAACACTCCAGAGAATGTCCTTCCATTTATAGACCTTCAACAGGATCACATGCTGCATTCAGGTTAGCAGACCGACTGAAGTCTGATTACTCACTCAAGTTCTTACAGTAATGAAACACATTCAGCCAGTCAATTAACACAACCTTATATTTCCACAGCCTCATATCAGTGAGACTCAGCAGTTATATTCTCTCAGAGTCATATACTCAATTAGACGTGGCTCTTGTCTGTCACCAGTGTTACTATAGAAACTGTGGGCTACTGAAATATGATTACACTGCTAAACTCCACCCTCCACAAAGTTTCAAGTTAATCATCTGAACTCTTCAAATAGTCAAAATAAAATATTTAATTTAGCTTAGCTAAACCTGTAAATTATGAATGATCTTATTAGTACCTCTTCACTACATTTTAGTTTTTTTTTTTTATTAACTTTTATTTTATATTTTCACATTTAGTCATTTTGCTACTTTTTTTAATCAGTTTGCTTCTAAATATTTCTATACAGCATTCATTTTTATTTAAGTTTTAGTAATTTTTGTACTTCAACAAACATATTTGGATTTGTTATTTTAACCTATTAATTTTTTTAATTTCCAAATTTTAGTTTTAGTTAACATTTACACTGCTTCACAACAAAACAAGCTTTATTTTCTTAGCATCAAATGCTTTGACCAATCAAACTTACATCAAATTACATTAAATTATAAAATGACAGACATATACATATACAAATTTGAAGGAGGTACAGAGGGTTTGGTCTTACCGTAAATTTGAGACGTATGCAACTCTGAAGCACTGCAGATCTTCACAGCTATGGAGACTGTAAGAAAAAGTGATGATCAGACAAGCAAATAAGGGAGCAAGAAAACTTTCAAAATGCTAATAAAAAAAAAACATTCAAGTGAAACTACAGTAATGGATATTGAATTGAACCCGAAAGGGTTTATCCACATAATAGCTTTAAAGTTCTTTTCCATCACAACTGCCAAAGGAGAAGTCTACACATTATCAATTTAGCAATGAATTACAGATTATTCACCCAAAAATGTAATCCTATTAACCATGTTAGGTGGTAGCGATCACAAATGGGCAAGTTTGAGGAAAAAAAACAGCTAATTTAAGATGTAAATCCTACCAGTGATGTGTGTGTGTATGTGTGTGTGTGTGTGTGTGTGTGTGTTAGAGTCTCATGAGGAATGAGTTAAAGCCGCAGTAATTAACCCTGGTCTATCTACTAATGATCTCACGACTGTAGAGCTGACTCAAGGCCAGAGGCCTATAAACACTCTTAAAAGTCAAGCGTTTACACTAAACTCCTAAACTACCAAATTATCCTATTAAATAAAAGGTGAAATTAAAGGTGAAAGCAAATCAAGTTAGAGCTTAAAACAGCATTTTAACACATATACACTACAGCATCTTACAAAAATAGCAGCTGAAGAAAGAAATATTGAGAATCAGATAAGAACCAAGCTCTTCTACTGTAAATCTGAAAACAACAGCATATGAAAGAACGTCATGACTTTTTCCCCTGAACACTGTCTACAAGTCATCAACCACTATACACAAACTTCACCATGAGACTGGTGTGACTATCCCAGACAGCAGATGAGGGTCATAGAGCTGCTGCTGTATTGAGTTGCGTTGTGTGTGTGGTAAGTGACCTCAGTGAGTGGTAGGAACATCTGCGCAGCAGCTGCTGCCTTTCAACCACTACAGAGGTCAACAAGAGTCCAGCACAGACCATTTACTCTGCACTGATTAATCACTCACAAACGTGATGCAAACAACAACAGTGTTACCTTTTCATCACGTTCAAATATGCCTACTGTGCTTCCCTACTATATAGCAGCCAAAAAAAACAGCACACCAGAGTAGTATGTCAGAATACACAGTATTCGAAAAACAGTAGCTGAAAAGTATACCTGGATGACCTACTACTACCACAGAGATTCTGAAATGGACAGCTGATAGACACTTTACTGTCCTAATAGGTCACAAGAGCGGAGTCATGAATGGCAGGGAAGCAAAGCAAATGTATGTTACATGACAATGCAGATTTAATGAGTTCAGATTGCATTCATTCCACATACTATATAGAAAATCATTTTTAAACTCTTTCAAAGTAAGTTCTTCATCAAATATAGCACCTACTCTGCCAGACAACTTTAAACGCATACAGAAAATGAGCTCTTCATCATTTACGCCAAGCTTCTGAATTAAAATTAAAATCACAAAAAGAAGATAATAAATCATACTCATAGCACCATAATAAAACACAGAAAAAGTAGTATAGTGGCCATTTTAATTAAATCACAATTACAAATATTCAGACATCCTTTTCTGCCAAGAGCACTCTGGAAAATAAGTTATAAGTTGAAGGAGAGATGGATAGAGGAAAAAAATGAGTGACTGTTAAAGTATGATGTTCGGAAAGGCCTGTGTGATGAACAGCAGACATGGCCGTCACTAGGGCTGCACGATTCTTGCTAAAATGTCAATCATTATTTTTCTCCATGGGAATTGTGAGCACTATTCTCTCACACGATTCTCATTTTTTTCATCCAAAACATTTAATGCACTCAAGAAAAAAAAGAAAAAAAAAAGTAAAAAAAGTGCTGCCTACACAGGACTTTCAGTTATAATAAAGCGCTGGATATTTTACACACCTTAAAGTGAATAACTTAAAAGCTGTAAGCTGTTACACATAAATAATAGAATGTTAACAATAATAAATAAAAATATAGCTGCAAGCAGCAATGACCGGGGTTCAAGCAGTTAAGGCATTTAAGCACATAAGGAAAAAGATTTTGTTAACATGGCTGTAACCACTTAAATCTATGATTAAAAATAGCATTTTGGGCAAAAGCAGGTAATTTACCAAAGAAATATGATGATTTTTAACAGTTATGACTGTTATAGTGCCACCTAGGGTCAGATCTCCATGAAACTTTGCATGCTTGTTAAGTGTCTTCTGTCACATGTTTTCATCAAGTTTCGTAAAGTTTGGAATTTTCGTTTAGGTTTTATAGGCTTTTGGCTATATATGACCACGCCCCTTTTTAAAATTACCCCATTATAGCTAACCAAAGGACAAAATTCATTTTTTTGATAATTATTGATCTATAGAGTCCAGAGAATATTACTGCAGTGGTTTGATCGAGATTGAACAACTCTGCCAGACAACTTTAAACGCATACAGAAAATGAGCTCTTCATCATTTACGCCAAGCTTCTGAATTAAAATTAAAATCACAAAAAGAAGATAATAAATCATACTCATAGCACCATAATAAAACACAGAAAAAGTAGTATAGTGGCCATTTTAATTAAATCACAATTACAAATATTCAGACATCCTTTTCTGCCAAGAGCACTCTGGAAAATAAGTTATAAGTTGAAGGAGAGATGGATAGAGGAAAAAAATGAGTGACTGTTAAAGTATGATGTTCGGAAAGGCCTGTGTGATGAACAGCAGACATGGCCGTCACTAGGGCTGCACGATTCTTGCTAAAATGTCAATCATTATTTTTCTCCATGGGAATTGTGAGCACTATTCTCTCACACGATTCTCATTTTTTTCATCCAAAACATTTAATGCACTCAAGAAAAAAAAGAAAAAAAAAAGTAAAAAAAGTGCTGCCTACACAGGACTTTCAGTTATAATAAAGCGCTGGATATTTTACACACCTTAAAGTGAATAACTTAAAAGCTGTAAGCTGTTACACATAAATAATAGAATGTTAACAATAATAAATAAAAATATAGCTGCAAGCAGCAATGACCGGGGTTCAAGCAGTTAAGGCATTTAAGCACATAAGGAAAAAGATTTTGTTAACATGGCTGTAACCCCTTAAATCTATGATTAAAAATAGCATTTTGGGCAAAAGCAGGTAATTTACCAAAGAAATATGATGATTTTTAACAGTTATGACTGTTATAGTGCCACCTAGGGTCAGATCTCCATGAAACTTTGCATGCTTGTTAAGTGTCTTCTGTCACATGTTTTCATCAAGTTTCGTAAAGTTTGGAATTTTCGTTTAGGTTTTATAGGCTTTTGGCTATATATGACCACGCCCCTTTTTAAAATTACCCCATTATAGCTAACCAAAGGACAAAATTCATTTTTTTGATAATTATTGATCTATAGAGTCCAGAGAATATTACTGCAGTGGTTTGATCGAGATTGAGCGAAAGACCTCGGACTAGACCTCATGTGACACATGTTTTAACCAAGTTTCGTAAAGTTTGGAGTTTTCGTTTAGGCTTTATAGGTTTTGGGGTATATTTGACCATGCTCTTTTCTAAATTACCCCGTTAAAAGGTAACCAAAGAACAAAATTTTTTTTTTGATAATTATTGATCTAGAGAGTCCAGAGAATATTACTGCAGTGGTTTGATCGAGATTGAGTGAAAAACCTAGGACTAGTTCGCCAAAGTAAGTTTTTAACATATTTGTGATTATTTAATGAACGATTTGATTGACAGCAATGGTTCTTGTGGCAAAGTTGCTCGTTATGAGGAGGTATATCAAATGATGTGCATATTGTGTTGATGTGTGAAAAATCGTGCAATATACAACCGTTTACGCACTTGAAAAACGCAATTTCGCCCCCCAGTGGCTGATTTCTTTCAAAATTCTTACAGACCTTTAGGGCTATGTGTTGAACATGCCCACCAAGTTTCGTTCCGATCGACCTCCGTTAACCCTGTCAAATATGTGCTTAAAATTGTTTGGCCAATGGAGGCCATGTTTTTTTAGATACGCGAATGTCCTCATAGACACTTGTGCCACTTTGGACAAAGACACTGCATACCAATTTTCAAGTCGATTGGACCAACGGTTGCGTAGTTATAGCTATTTTTGTTTTTCCCCTCTTATAGCGCCACCAAGTGGTAGAGATGCGCAATTTTTTAAATTTAACCAAGGATTAAGCTCATACACCTATGTACCAAGTTTGGTGAAGATATCTCATTCCGTTCAATAAAATTGTCCCCGCCTCTTTCAAACGGTTTGGCGCCCCTTTGCAACCGTGAGTTGAAAGTTCAACTTTTTTTTGATAATTATTCATAAACACTGTCCAGAGAGTATTGCTGCACTGGTTTGGTTCTGATCGGGCGAAAAACCTTGGACTAGTTCGCAAAGTAGCTTTTTTAAATAATCTTGAATATTTAATTACCATGTTTTATTCACAACATTGGTCCCAGAGGCAAAGTTGTTCAGCATGAGGAGATCTATCTTGTGATATCAAGATTTAGTGTATGTGTGAATATATGAACGTTTTGTGGACAGTTTAATTCTGTTATAATTGAAATATTGTGTTTTTGGATACTTTGTTTACTGTTATAGCGCCATAGCGCCACCGATATTCATGAAACTTTGCTTGCTTGTTAAGAGTTGTCAGACACATGTTTTCACCAAGTTTCGTAAAGTCGTAAAGTTTCGTTTAGGCTTTATAGGTTTTGGGGTATATTTGACTATGCCCTTTTCTAAATGACCCCGTTAAAGGTAACCAAAGAACAAAATTCAACTTTTTTTTGATAATTATTGATCTAGAGAGTCCAGAGAATATTACTGCAGTGGTTTGATCGAGATTGAGTGAAAAACCTAGGACTAGTTCGCCAAAGTAAGTTTTTAACATATTTGTGATTATTTAATGAACGATTTGATTGACAGCAATGGTTCTTGTGGCAAAGTTGCTCGTTATGAGGAGGTATATCAAATGATGTGCATATTGTGTTGATGTGTGAAAAATCGTGCAATATACAACCGTTTACGCACTTGAAAAACGCAATTTCGCCCCCCAGTGGCTGATTTCTT